GATGTGAGGTTTCACAGATGCTGATGGAACAGATGATGAAACAGGCCTGGCAGACCAGGTGGTGTGGATCACAATCTCTGCAAAGGGAAAAGGGGAAGTAACCGGCCAGGGCAAACCTGAACCTGTGTCTATAGCTCCCCCTTGCTACAGTGATTGTTCAGCCAGCTCTAGAACTCATTCTATCAACAGAAAACGAAATCAATCCTTTGACCTCAGATTAATTTGTACTATTTCAGACCCTTAGGTGCAGCCCAGGGACATTGTTGTTTTGGAGATCCAGAAGTGAGCAACATGGTCTAAATCATATAAGATCAATCTATTCTTAGAAGTAATCAATCATCAAATGCTCTCCATTTATGAAAGCTCAAGTGTATATGGACTCATCCAAGGTCAAACAGGAAATCTGTGTGAAAGTGTGGCCAGACCAGAATGATGAGAGAATAAAACTTACCATGGGAAAGGGAGAAAGGCAAATGAAAGCAAAGAGGAGGAGGTCCAAAAAGTCCTCATTGGAGTGTTTCTCCTTCTTTCCCGCCATCTTTGCGAGGCAATATGGGGTGGTAGACACAACTGTGCAGCCAGAAATTCCTAGGTGCACCGGCTGTCTCGACCATACGTGAGGTTCATACTGTGCTACTTATGCTTCTTCAATAAGGACTCCCTCGAAGGAGTCCTAGAGGGTATTAATAAGAGTAGCTAATATCACACTCACCCTCCTAGAAATTGTACTCACAAACTCGAGAGAGAAAGAGAGAGAGAGAGAGAGACTTAAAAGCATCAATAAATTGGAGAGTATAGAGCTCTTGAAGGAAAGGAAGCATGCTTGGTGAAATTGTACTTTTATTTACCTGACTTCTCCCTTGTAGAGATTTCAAAATGTTAAAAGAATACTCCGAATATAGTTCAACCAGAATCAACAGGCGTCAACTTAATTAAGAAGCCAGAAATCCGAATCCAGAGGTTCCAGAAAGGCTGAAAATTGGGAGAGGAAATCCTAGAAATCCTAGAAAGGAGAATTCACAGAGACACATGCACACACACACACACACACACACACACACACACACACACACATACACACACACACACACATCTCAAATTTTTACACAGATATCCCTAAAGTCCAAGGCTGATCAGTGAACTGTATATGAATGGAGAGAGAGACTCCAAGATGCCTAGGAAGGAAATAACAGTGGGAAGAGCTGAGCTATCATTTCAGTAACTGCCACTAGAACTCCAAATTAGCAAGTCTCAATAAATAGCATGATATTCCCACTGAAGTCCCTCCCCTCCCCAAGTCTCACTCCTTAGGAATTAAGATTCCATCCCAAGACCAAAGACTACAATAAGCTAAAATACATCCACCCTTAAACACAGTCTTTAACAATGTGACTCCACAAAAACAACATGATTCGCCCTAAATTTATCTGCCTTGCTGAAACAGCACTCATTACTACTCAAAGAGAAGCCATCTAGGGCTGGGAAGGTGGCTCAGTGGTAGAGCGCTTGCCTTGCATGCATGAGGCCCTGGGTTCGATTCCTCAGCACCACATAAGCAAAAAGAAAAAAGCTGGAACTGGCGCTATGGCTCAAGTGGTAGAGTGCTAGCCTTGAGCTGAAGAGCTGAGGGACAGCGCCCAGGCCCAGAATTCAGACCCCACAACCGGAACCAAAAAAAAAAAAAAAGCCATCTACCCACAGTCACTGTGAAGATTTATCCCTAATGTCCAGGACACAATCAAAAACTACTAGACACAAGGCAAGAGGGAAAACGTGAAAAGAAAAATGAGGGAAGAGGTGGCAATGCTCAAAAAGAAATGTACTCAATACCTGACTTTTGTAACTGTAACACCCCCTGTACATCACCTTCACAAGAAAAATTAAATTTAAAAAATAAAAATAATAAAAAAATAAATGATTGGTAAGAAGGGATGCCCATGTCATTCTACTTTTGGAATTGGAAAAGTGTAACTTTATAGTAATAATAATAAACCTGTCAAATACTTCAGGAAAAAGGATTTTTAGATAGGACATGAAAGTTTCTTTTAGGGGGCAGTACTAGGGTTTAGTGCTTACTAGGGTCTCATGCTGAGTATCACTTGAGCCATGCCTCTTTTTGTTTTAGTTTGCTTGTTTTGTTTATTTAATAGATTCTTGCTTTTCTTTTCTTTCTTTCCCCCTAGGCTGGCTTTGGACCACCATCTTCCTACCTACAGCTTCCCACATAGCTGGGGTCACAGGCATTGAACACCACTGCACACTTGTTTCTTGAGGCGGAGTCTCACATTTTCCCTGGACTGGCCTCAAACCACAGTGCTCCCACTTTCTGTCTCCTGAGTAGAAGGGATTATAGACATTCACTACTACATCCAGCTGGGGGGAAAAAAAAAACACAAATGAAAGTTCTGGAACCTAGAGATACTGACAGGGTAAATTAGACTTTGCGAAAGAACCACGCAGACATCCAGGTACAGAGAACAAACAAGGATTTATTGCTGGGAAAGGGGCCGGCAAGACCCCTTCTCACAAGGGAGAAGTAAGAAGAAGCACCGGCTATTGTCTGGGGTGACCTGTATAACCTAGGAGGTTTAGGACGGGCTAGAAGGGCTAGGAGGCAGAGACCCTGGTGTGGACATGTGGGCCAGGGGCTTCATCGTGGCAGACTAGGATTTATGGCTGCTGTGCAAATAGTAGATAAGGGGTCTTTCAACTGCCCAGACCTGAAAGTCACTCTAAGGGGCTCCTGTTGCTTTATAGGGTAGTAGCTGCCCCAGAGAAGTGCCATCCCAAGGTAAAGGGGGTTGGAAGTTGATTATTTACTACCTTTACTAAATGGGTCTCAAATTGCCTAGAAAGGGAGCATGCTAAGCTGTAGAGAGGGGAAGGAGAGTGCTAAGCTATGGGAAGGGAGCTCATTTTGCTAACAGATACAATATCTGAAATGTATTAATTGTCAAATTGAATCAAGAGAAAAAAATGAACATAAAATAATGAAGGAATGTCACATTTGCAGGCAATAGAAGTTATTCAGATGGGCACAAAAAGAAAAGAGACCAATAAAAATAAACAGAGCCCCAGTGATTTGCACAGTCCAACATACATAAAATTAACCTCCTGGAAAACAGCAGAGAAAATAATTTAAATATTGGTTAGTAGTTTTCTAAATCTATTCAGAAACCTAATTCCACAGACCCATGATCCTTAACAACCCCATGCAGGAAAAATACAAAGAAAATCACATCTGGGCACAACATAGTTAAAATCCTGAAAATCAAATGTAGAGAGTGAATCTTAAAAGCAAGCAGGGTTGGAGTGGATTAGTACATACAGGAGAACTGTGATTGATTCTCAGTTGAAAGATTTTAAGACAGAAGACAGAAACAGCATCTTTGAAATGCTGAAAGAAACCATTTATCAACATATACTATGTTGATAAACTATGTTTCAAAAATAAAGAAAATACTTGGCTAGGTACCAGTGGCTCACACCTATAATCCTAGCTACTCAGGAGGCTGCGATCTGAGGATCATGGTTTGAAGCCAGCCCAAGAAGGAAAGACTTCGGGGCTGGGAAGTTGGATCAATGGTAGAGTGCTTGCCTTGCATGCATGAGGCCCTGGGTTTGAGTCCTCAGCACCACATAAGCAGAAAAAAAGCCAGAAGTAGTGCTGTGGCTCAAGTGGTAGGGCACTAGCCTTGAGCTGAAGAACTGAGGGACAGCGCCCAGGCCCAGAGTTCAGGTCCCACAACTGGCAAAAACAAAAAATAAAGGAAAGACTGTGAGACTTTTATCTCCAACTCGTTACCAAAAAGCCAGATGTAGAGCTGCGGCTCAAGTGGGAAAGCACTATTCTTGAGTGAAAAAGCTAAGGGACAACACTCAGTCCCTGAGTTCAAGCCCCAGGACCAGCACAAAAACAAAAAGGAGAAAACTGAGACATTGAAAAGTTCAGATCTATAGGGAAAATTAATACTAAAAATGACATACATACATGTGGGTAAATGTTTTCTTTCTTCCTTAAAAATTGATGCATAACTAGGGAAAAACAAAGGAGGGGGTAATAATGCTCAAGAGGAAATATACTTGTTACCTTACTCATATAACCGTAACCCCTCTGTAGAGTATCTTTACAATAAAATTATTTTTTAAAAATTGATGCCTAGGGCTGGGAAGGTGGCTCAGTGGTAGAGTGCTTGCCTTGCATGCATGAGGTCCTGGGTTCAATTCCTCAGCACCACATAAGCAAAAAGAAAAAAGCCGGAAGTGGTGCTGTGGCTCAAGTGGTAGAGCGCTAGCCTTGAGCTGAAGAGCTGAGGGACAGCGCCCAGGCCCAGAGTTCAGGCCCCACGACCGGACCCAAAAAAAAAAATTGATGCCTAAGACAAAACATATATTGTATAGCACAAATGAAAGCATTTTATATGTAGAAGTAAAATGTATGAAAGCAATAGCATAAAAAACAGAAAAATGTAAATAGAATTGTGCATGATGTAGTATATTATTTAAAGGTAGAGTATGATAAAAATGAATATTACAAGCCTACGGCAATAATTAAAAATAATAATAACCAGGCATTGATGGCTCACACCTGTAATCCTAGCTACTTAGATCTGAGAATTGCAGAAAAGTCTGTGAGACCCTTATCTCTAATTAACCACCAAAAATCCAGAAATGGAGCTGTGGCCTGAGTAGTAGAGCACTGTCTTTGAGAGAGAAAAGCCAAGCAAGAGCACGAGGCTCTGAGTTTAAGCCCCTATACTGGCATCATCATCATCATCATCATCATCATCATCATCATAGCAGCAGCTGGGTACCAGTGGCTCAAGCCTGTAATCCTAGCCATTCAGGAGGCTGAGATCTAGAGGATAGAGATTCAGAGCCAGCCCAGGCAGGCAAGTCTGAGAGACTCACATTTCCAATTCATCTTCCGGGCTGGTCACCGCTCTTGGACCCTGGGGCTGATTCAGAGAGTGAGTCTCTTCCTGATTCCTGTCTTGCAGCTCACCTACCTGCCCCCGCCGTGGGGGGAGTGCAGGTCCTCAGAGATGGGGCTCGACTTCTTTCCTGTTTACAGCATCACCGCCTGTCGTATCGACTGCGAGACGCGCTACATTGTGGAGAACTGCAACTGCCGGATGGTGCACATGCCAGGTCAGTCCCCGGGCCGCCCTCGACCTGCTTTACATTCCTTTACACTTCCCACATGATGGGAAAGTCTTGGGCCTATTCCACGAGGCTTCAGGGGGAGTGCTGAGCTGGGGAGACTGCTCCTGCTTGCCTACATGTCCAGAGGGGCCGCAATCAGGGTAGCATCTGGGGTCAGGAGCGTTCAGACGTTTGGAGCATCTGCATCCCAGAGTTCAATGTCTGCCCATTGCTTTCTGCTGGTGCCTCCTAGAGCTCGGGGTCCAGATGACTAGATGGTAGGTTGGCACATCCAGATGTCTGCTGCTTCCATCCAGATGTTTCCCTTCTCCCATCCAAATGTCTGGCACTCTTTCGAGTACAGCAAAAGTCTATTAGCCAGCAAATAAATGCGTCTGGATGCCACTTTCGTTGTCAGACTAATAACGCATAGAGCCATCTCATTAGAAGCAGCTGGTCTGTCAGAGGCAGGAGTTCCGTGTTGCAGCGTGAAATGATAACGGGGGCTGCAGGCAGTGGCTTCCGCTTCTGATGCATGTGCCTCTGTTTGCTGACTGTGTGGCTTGATACAGGTTACTAACCCTCTCTGTTCTCACTTGATCATCTTTGAAATGCATTCATTCACCAGTGCAAGAATAAAGTCAGATGTGTATGTAAAAATGCTCTGCAAGCACATAAGGAGAGAGAACCAAAAGTCATGATGGCTGATGACCTCCTACATGCCAGAAACATTACTTGGCTTTTACACTTAGTGGTTGTTGTTTCTGAATTCTGCCGTACTTTATTTAAGATTGATTTAATAAAATCTATACGTGGGTCATTTTGTTCATGACCAATTGAATAGGCCCATGGCTAAATTATCAACTTCTAGCCTATATATAAATAAATACACATGACAATAAATTTGTATTGCTTTAAACAGTAATATGAGCATTGCCTCTGAGCTTCCTGGAAGACAGAGTAAAAAAGGAAACATGCCATTTAAAAGTTATTATGGAAAAAAGCCAGGTGCCAGTAATCCTAGCTACTCAGGAGGCTGAGAGCTGAGGATTGTGGTTCAAAGCCAGTCCGGGCAGGAAATTCTGTGAAACTCTTATCTCCCATTAGCCATCAGAAAACCAGAAGTGGTGCTGTGGCTCACTCGCCTTGAGCTAAAGAGCTGAAGGACAGCGCCCAGGCCCAGAGTTCAAACCCTATGACTGACCAAATAAAAAAGTTATTATTGGAATAAAACTAAAAATACAGTAATTATTGGAAAGAAGGCTGCATATCATCTTCCTATTCTTTGGTCCTGCAGGCCAGCCCACCTGCATAGCATCCTTGGGAGAAGTAAATTAGCCAGGCAGGGCCCATGGTCTCCAGCTCTCATCTATTCACACAGCTCACACAGCAACTCAGAGCTGAGCCCTCAACTCTGGGAACTGTTCCTGGCTATCAGCTAGGAGTCTGCTAGCAACCTTCCCCCAACTACCACCAGGCAGCATTGACTGCCAGGGAAACCAGATGTTGCTGACATGCATGGTTCTGCCTGAGTGATGACCCTGCTTTTCCTCTCTGCAGGGGACGCTCCCTTCTGCACCCCTGAGCAGCATAAGGAATGTGCAGAGCCTGCCTTAGGTCAGTACAGGGGTACGGAGGGGCAGAAGGATGGCAGGGAGGGCGGCAGTGCTGAGATGATGGAGATCATCTGGCGTGGGCACAGAGGGCAATCAGGGCTGAGCAGAAAGCTGCAGGGCAGAAGGGAGTCAGTCACGGGGCGGGAGGAAGGCAGGGAGAGGATGCAGGAGGGAATGTGTGATAAGGAAGAGGGGAGGATCAAGGTAGAGGTGAGGGCTGGAAAAGAAGCTGAGGGAGAGGAGGAGGAATTGAAGGCTGGGTAGGTGAGGTCACATCCTCATTCCTGTGTACGATATGCCCTCAGCTGCCTCCTCCTCCCCTTCCTTCTTCCTCCCTCTTTCCCCCTCCTTTCTTCCTCCTCCTCTTCCTCCTCTGACAACCTCTAGGGTTGTTTGTGAGCTCGAACATAGAACAACTGCTAGATCCCCAGCTGGAAAGCTAGGGAGGAGGGGGTTTGCACCACCGGCTTCTCCCCACACCTGGCTCTCTCCAGCCCCAGGAAATGGTTCCTAATCCAGACAGACAGAGAGAATTGCAAACAGTCCATCCGGTGGAGCCAAGTGGAGGCAAAGCTGGACACTCATGCTTTCGATGGTTCCAGAAGGACTAGAGAGGAAAAAAGAGACAGTGACTCCTGATGGCCTAGTCTCGAGTCACGAGAGCCAAGATTGCCTCAAAACCCATTATGGAAAAGCTGTGATGCTCCACTATGTTTTAAAGAGAACTATGAAGTTCCAAGAGAACTAGCGGGCTCGCGGAAAGAAAGCAAGGCCAACCTATAGCAAGTGGGCTATCTCCCACCCCATATTCCTAGAGTTCACCCTCCCCATCCCAGGTGGCTATGTCTGGCTACTCCAGACCACGAGTCCCAGCCCCACCCCCGACTAAGACCCTCTACCCTCTCTCTTCCAGGTCTGCTGGCAGAAAAGGACAGCAATTACTGTCTCTGCAGGACTCCCTGCAACCTGACCCGATACAACAAAGAGCTCTCCATGGTGAAGATCCCCAGCAAGACATCAGCCAAGTACCTGGAGAAGAAGTTTAACAAATCGGAAAAATATATCTCGTAAGTTAAGTGGACCTTGTAGAGAGGGGTAGAGAGAGGATACACGGGGACCAATAGAGGAGAAGGGCAAAAGGCAAGCAGACAGTTTAATTTAGCAAGCGTTTAGCAAGCATTCACCAAACACCTGCTGCGCGCTGAGCTCAGAAATGATGGAGATGATCATCTCCAGGAGAGACAAGTACATGAATGGGGCCATATTGGCTGTCATGGCAGGATGCAGAAATAATGTCCTAATGGCAGTTGTAGGTGGGGGGAGGGTCAGGGAAAGCCTGAGAGATGTCATTTTTAAGATGTTATCAGAATTGTCCAGGGAGACTTTGCACATTCTGGTGCCTGTGCTGGAATGCTGTTCCTGCCACTCTTGGCCCAAGTGATCCCTCGTTGTACACAACTCTGCTGAAACCTCAGATGACTCAATTCAGTCCCCTCCTGTGGCTTTCTCTCCAATACTGAGCTGTTTTCCTCTATAGCACTCACGGCCCTGTCATGTGGAAGTCCACCTGCCCACCTGCCCCACTTGACTGAAAGCAAAGCAAGAAACTCTCTCTCTTTCTCTCTCTCTCTCCCCCTCCCTCCTTCCCTCCCTCCCCCTCTCTCTCTCTCCCTCTCCCTCTCCCTCTCTCTCTCCCCCTCCCTCCTTCCCTCCCTCCCCCTCTCCTCTCTCTCTCCCTCTCTCTCTCTCTCCCTCTCCCTCTCTCTCTCTCCCTCCCTCTCCCTCTCCCTCTCTCTCTCTCTCTCCCTCCCTCTCCCTCTCCCTCTCCCTCTCCTCCCTCTCCCTCTCCCTCTCCCTCTCTCTCTCTCTCTCCCTCCCTCTCTCTCTCTCTCTCTCTCTCTCTCTCTCTCTCTCTCTCTCTCATTCCTTCCTCCCCTGGAGTCAGGGTCTAACTATATGTAGCTCAAGCTTCCTGGAACTTTCAGTGCCCCTGCCCTCAGCCCCCCTGAGTGCTGGGATTACACTCTCGGTTCCACAAATTTGTACATCCAGCCATTGCTCTCCTCTAGAACATTCCACAGTGATGGAACTGTGCCCCATCTTTGGTGTCCTGAATGGCAGCCACCAGTGACAATGCAGTTGAGCATTCACAACATAGCCTGTGGGATGATCAACGAGCTAGGTGGTGACTTATATTTTATTTGAATCATCCTAACCATTTTAGAAAGACTCTTCAGGTGGTGGTCCTGCAGATGGGTGGAGAGCCAGGCAGGGAGCACGGGGAACCTGCTTAGGAGATGGTTGCCATGAACCAGACAAGAGATGGTGACACTTTGAACGGCTCCTGGGACATCCAGGCATGGAGACAAGACCTACTCTGTTGTTTTCAGCCACTCTCTCCTGCCAAGACAGTTGTCAGACCTCATCCTGGATAGCAGATGCTCAACAGGTTGGGGAAAGGACCATGGGGAGCCACACTGGAAGAGAGCAGGAGAGAGGAGATGCCAGGTCCTGCTGTTTGGTAGACATTCTGCAGGCAGGAATGACTTTACTGCCAAGGCAGGTCTCATGAACACACCTGCCTACGGGAGCAGCCTAGAGGAGCTCTGGGGCTTCTGTTGGGAACTTCCCAACCAGACATGGATTTGCTTCCTGCATTTTTTTGGTTTTGTTTTTTTTTGTTTTTACTTTGGCAAGCAACTCAATTGTGTCAGGACAGCACCTTCCAGCATAAGTAGCTTGATATCAATCCCAAAAGAAATCTGGGTAGGGAGCACCCAGATCAGCCAGGGCAGACACACTAAGTCCAAGTCAACCTGGTAGGGCTCATTTGCATATTCTAAAACTGACAGGTCCTTGCAGGGGAGGGTGGGTGGTGCTCAGAGACCTAATAGCGAGCTGACCTCCTGGGAAGGATGCTGAGAGAGATAAGGGCAATGAGGACAGTTGATAGGCTCCTCTGGTCCTGGCCAAGTCAGGTCCCTTAATATTGAGTTCCAGTTCTACCTTTGGGCAAGCTCCCCTCCTCCTCCCGGGGCCTCCACTTCACCATCTATCTGGGGGAAAGTGGAGTTAGATGATCCCTCTGAATGCCCAGAGTTCTAACCACGGGTGGGTACTAAATATTCCCTCCTCAGAGAGAACATCCTCGTTCTGGATATATTTTTTGAAGCTCTCAATTACGAGACAATTGAACAGAAGAAGGCGTATGAAGTTGCTGCCTTACTTGGTGAGTCGACACGTCTATTGCTCAAATTTCCAATCTCCCAGGGAGCAAGAGAGAGAGAGAGAGGAGAGAGTGGGTGGGTGGGTGGGTGGGTGGAAGACAAGCAGACACATAGATACATAAGCCTCCTAAGAAGTCAACCTTTTTAATTTACTAATCACACCCTCTTGCCTTACACCGCGCCTGCCCCAGTAGAAACTCCACAGTGGTGAAGATTTTAGGCCCAGTTCAACCCTCAGTTTAGGCCTCCTGTTTCTCCTTCAGGCAACAAGGAGATCACGTGAGCACAAAGGTCCCTGTGGGGACTTGCCAGTCCTGCTCTCTTGAATGTCACCGTCTTCTATTTCCAGGACGCAGGTGGCACGCTGGGGTCTAGAGGAAGAACAAAGCTGTTATATAGAAGGGATGCTTAAATGCCCCCAGGTGGCATCAAGTATAGTCAGGGTCCCAAAAGAAGCCCTGCTTGGAGAGCAGCATTGTTGTGTGGCCTCCTGGACTAAGAGCCCTTTGTCAAACACAGTTAAGAGCTACTCTTCCCAGATGCCCACAAACTTGAGGGCCACACCACAAGTTCACATACATAGGCACAGAATGGGTACAGAGAGCTCACTTCGACCCTACCCCCAGCCCAACTGGAACCTCACAAGACCCCTGATAGCACAGAGTCAAAAGACCTGAAGGATCTGCCCCTGGGTCTCTCATGCCAGCTCACACCCACTCTTGAGAAAGGGCACCATGCCAGGTGCCAGCAGCATCCTGGGACAGGCAGGTTCACCCTGGCAGTATAGAGGGGGGAGAGCTGGCTTTACAGCTGAGTGCTGTGAGGATATGGACAAAGTTGCTTCAACTTGCCAACTCTCAGCTCCCATGTCTGCCAAATGGGATACATGGTACTCATTATGCCTGCCAGGGTTCCTGTCACAGAGGGCAAGGTCTGAGGAAAATGACTTTGAGGAGCGTGGCTCACTGTTTCAGAAGCTCCAAGTCCATTGTGGATGGGGGAGAGCAAGGAGGAGCAGCGAGCTCATATCATAGTGTCCAGGAAACAGAAAGGAGAGAATACCTTTGTTCACTGACTGCCTCCTTTTCCACCCTTTATTCCATTCATCCCCAGCCTATGGGATGGTGCCACCCATATTCAGGTACAACCCAGAGCATGCTTTACTAATCTCCTAGGCATTTCACCATGTAATCAAGGTGACAGCTCAAGTGTAGCACATCCTTTTCACAAGTTTTTAGGGATGCTTAAATGTAATCAAGCCCTTGCCCAGACAAAAGTCCATCAGTAATAGTTGCTGGTACCTAGACAATCACCATGCCAAGCACCCTGGCTCAACTGATATGTCCAGGACCATCGGAGTATTTCTACAATTCCTCTAGACACATAGAACAAGACCATCTCTCCATGCCATCTGGATTAACGTCATGGTGACCAAAGGCACTGAGTCAAGAAATTCAAACCCTGGGGCCAGGATAGGAGTCAAGCCCCCACACCTCTATTTCCTAATGATGATTCCAAGTGGGTCTCTATTCTTCCCCCAGCATAAGCTCAAACTCTCTTTATCTCTCTCTTTCTTCTCTGCCCCTTCCTCTCTCTTACATACATACACACACACACACACACACACACACACACACACACACACACACACAAGGCAGGAGGGCCTGAGCTCTGAATCTGTCACATCCGCATCAGCGATGAGGATGAGCTTGTTCCTAGCATCCTGTTCCCACCCAGAATAGCCTGCTGAGGAATTCATGCTGCCATCTGTACCTTCTGTGACAGGAGCATGTGTCACTTGCAAGCTCTCAGCCATCAGGCCCAGCCTGGCCCTTCTCACACCCAGTGGCCATATATATGCACGGACCTCAGGCAAGTACTCACTGTACCCATGCCAACCTGCACACATACAACCACCTGGGGACCCCATATCCATGTACATCTATACAGCCGCCCAGAGACGGGTCCATGCTTGCACAAACCTAGGCAGTCATGCTGCACAGCTACACACTCATGTATTACGTAGCATGCACAGAAACACACCTACACATATGCACACATGCTCTGCATTCTCAGACACACTCTGCCCGCTTCCACAAACACACTCACATATGTGAAGACACACTCAGTATACCCAAATAGGCAGAGATAGCCACTCACATAAAGCCACCAAAAGCCAGACATCCTGCCTGCATCTGGCAAAGGCATGCACACACGTACACACACGCGCGCACACACATACTACCTAATCCACTCCATTCCAGCCATGCTACACAAACACAACCCTCACACATGACATATACATCTAGGAGGTCACAGTCCCCAATAAGCCTGCATTACAGAGAAGAGTGGGGAGGAAAAAAAGAAAGTGAGGCCATTCGGAGCCCAGCACCCCTTTCCCACCAGCTCTGCTTCTCCATCTAGGCTGTTAGGCTCCACCTAGCCACAGTGAGGAAGAGTGAGGAAGATTCGCACATCAGAAAAACCACCGACCAAGAAGTCAGCCTGGGATCTCCAGGATGCTTACAAACTCACCCCAACAATGTCTCCACCCCTCCTATCCCTCTCCTCCAGCCCACCTCCAAGACTGATAGCCAGAGATTACAGCTGGGAAGGGCCCCAGGGTTCAAATCCTTCACCCTTCCCAAGCACCACTGCCAAATATCCTTTGGAAACAAGGTCACTGAGAAGTGCAGAGCTTGTCAGAGCCACAGAAGTTAATGGTGACTGCAGACTGGCTTTATTGCCCTGTATTATCCTCGGTTTTGCTGGGATCTAAGCATTTGGAGATCCTGATATGAACTAAAATCTCTCTTGCTACAGATGCCCAGGTGCGCACAGCCCAGGCCTTCCATTTGCAACCACATGAGTGGTTCTCAAACCCTGGTGGGGCTACGAACTACCCAGGGAATTTGAAAGTTCATACGTTTCAGACATCATTCCCAGAGACTCTGATTGTCTAGGCCTATGGCGACATAGAGGTCAAGGCATCTACAGAATTTGATGCAGAGGATTGGAAGACAAATCTAAAAACACGTTTATCAAGAGAGTCCCTCTATGCCACTGTGAAAAACTCCCTCAAGGAAGAAAGGATACTAAGCAGTGACATCTGGGCCAGAAAGAAAAGAGATCTCCTATGAACTACTGCCAAGAATGGCACATGATCCAAGCTGGCCCGGAAGGCTGTGCTAGGATGGTCATGGTTGTGGGTGGGAGTGATCTGGGTGCCACTGCTTTGGAAACCTGCAAGTCATCTGACACATGCTCTCTGGCTATACTACACTCTCATCCAAGTCAAGGATCCACTTCCAGTCTCTGTTCCCAATGCAGGGTCCATTCACTGGGTCCTGGAAGCCATGGAACAACAGGTCTGGGAGCCCCTCCAGGAAGCAATCAGTTTAGTCCCTATCCAGTGGTGACACAGTCAGCTGTCAGGGAAGGTGGCCTTTGTCAGAGGCTTAGCCCTCCCATGACAAGATCTAACCTCCCAGTGAACCTTGCTCAGATAATCTGGCTTCTGAGTTCTTCATGTGTCCACCCCTTCTTGGAGGTGATCTGACTACAACTCAATCTTTGATCTTTTCCCTCCCTCTCCAGGTGACATTGGTGGTCAGATGGGATTGTTTATTGGTGCTAGTATCCTTACAATACTAGAGCTCTTTGATTATATTTATGAGGTAAGATTTGGAACTGCCCGGGATACATTTCTTTGATATGCTGATGCTCCCTTCCCATTCCCAGGCTCTTGAACTCTTTCCACTCGGCCAGATCCCTGCTTCTCTTACTGTCTACTCATATTATTCATCACCTAATCCTAGGCATGGGAAGTCCCTAGAAGGGGTAGATGTGGGAGATATAGAAGCCATAATCCTAGGATGGGGAATGGTAAGAAAGGTGGGCAAGCTCCAAGTAGGGAGAGAGTATGGGGATGGGAAGAAGGGACCAGATTATGCTGGTAACTCCCAATGCAAGTCTGAGGATGTAGCATCATACTATGGGTATGTCCCAATCTACACACACACACACACACACACACACACACACACACACACACACACACACACACACACACACACCACCTATACATCCCACATCATATACAGTCACACTACACTCAGACATAAGTATATAATACACAAAACACTCCATACATATGCACTACAAACACACACACACACACACACACACACACACACACACACCATGCACAAGCTGCCCTCTGGGTGACCCACCCTCTGATTACTGGCTTCCTTTGGCATTTTCCAGCAATTCTCATCCATCTCCAGTAGGGGACCATGATACACGATACAAGCCAGTGCTTCTGCTGTTGTAGGTCTGGAGAGATATCTCCCTCCAGAGGCAGCTGGAGCCTCTGAAACTCCCTCCACAGCAGAGAGAGTCTGGGAACACACACTTGGACTGCATTGCCCTGGATTGATCCGGGCAAAGAGCTTGTGCCCAACCAGCTCCTGAAGAGCAGTGCAGAGTTAGGTGTCAACCTATACCAGGAAACATGGCAGCTTTCTTTTGGCTCCACTGTTCACAGGAGGCCTCCATCTTCCTGGATGTGAAATGAGCAATGCTCTTTACTCTCAATGTGAATATAGACAGACCTAGTCCTGAGAGGTCCCTTAAGAACTCCTGGTGACAGGCAAGCAGACAGGATGCTGTAGAGTAGTATTTCGCCTCCCGGGAAAGACCCTGTGACCAGGGTCTTCTGAAAACTCTCTTGCCTCTCAGCTTGATGATAAAGTCTCCACAACCTGTTTTATTCTCTGCTTTGTTTATTAATCCTTGTGAAAAGCTATATAGTGTTCTAGCTGGGCAACATTTTAAGAACTGCCCTTCATTCCTAGCAATACAATATTATGAATCAGACGTGCCTTCATCTAGTGGACTGTGGAGCTATCAGGCCTAAAAATGGTCCTTGTCCTCCAAGCCCAGTCTCAGAAAGGGATCCCCGGCTGTTCCTCAGAATGCCTAGAGAGCTAGACATACCAGCATGTTCGGTTTATCTACAGGCTCCATTCACAAGAAAAAGGCTGTCCACACTGTACAGGGGACCTCCTACTCTTGCTTCTGAGCTTTCTCCCACAACTAAATCCCATGTGGGGCCAAAAGGTCCACTTGAGACATATGGACTCCTGGAGCTGTCCACTGGGCAGGGCTCTTGACCCTTGGCCCAGTCATCAACTAGATGGCTACCACCTCTATGTTTCCCCAGTAGAGTCCAGTAGGGGATGGGGGGGGGGGGCATTCTACCTTTGAAACTACCCTCCCAGTCTAGTCATCCCTTTCCTCCTGCTTTTTTTTTTGCAGCTGATCAAAGAGAAGCTATTAGACCTGCTTGGCAAAGAGGAGGATGAAGGGAGCCCAGATGAGAACGTGGTAAGAGTGGCTGCTGGGTTGGCTTTGCATAGGCAACATGCAAGCAGTCACTAGAGCCAGTGACTCCCTGCATAGCTTTCCACAACTGCAATGCCTTGTCATTCCCCAAGTCCAAGGATGCTCCGACTGAGCCTCATCCCAAAGGCCAGTGGGTAAGCCACAGATGTGGCTGATCCCAGGACTAGCTTCCATAGGTAGGCCCTGCCTAGCTCAGTCCGGCTTCTCCCAGGCCATAGATCTACTCCTGTTTCAAGACAGACTCTACTTCTATGTTCCCTGGGCAAAGGTGGCAAAACACAAAAGCTGTGCCACTGGCATCCATCCCATTTGATGGGACATATGGGCCCCCATGAAGTTGAGAATAGCAATGAGATCTATTTGTAGCTACTGTCCATGCTGGGTTCAAGATGGGTACTGTTCTGTGTGCCTGTAGATCACATCACGATAGCCCCATAGCCACCCTAGAGAAAGGTTTACCTTCATCTCCTTTTTGTATCTGAGGCCATCAAAGCCTGGAGGCGATGGTAACAGAGCACTTGAGTATCAGAGTTGGACTCCAGGCATCTCTGCCACTTCTATACACCCAGACAAGGGGCTCCTAAAGCCAGTTATCACTGTCATTTCCTAAACCTCAGTCCACTCATGGACTCAGGTCATGAGGAGCTGGCTCTCCTCAATAGTGGGCCTCAGAGAACCATAGCTGCTAATCCCCTAAAGTCACCCAATCCCAAATGGATCCCAGCCCCTTCTCTGAACAGATTCCCAGTTCTGCTCCAGACACTGTATCTCCACCAGTCTCCCAGGTGAAAAGTCTCACTTCAATTCTCTCAAGCCCTGCAGCCTCTGTTGAGCAGAAGGCAGCCTCTGCTGTGGGGAGGGGTGGAGGGAGGTGGGAGGAAACAGTATGGAAAGAAAAGGCCCAGATTCTAGTCTTAACTGGTGTGGCTGGATCCCAAGTCTTCTGCTTCTTAGCTGTAGGCTCCAGAGTAAGTTATTTAACTTCTCTGAGTCTATCTTCCTAAGATCAAAGGCTCTCAGATGGTTGTCATGGGGATTAAGTGAGATCTTGCCTGTAACCATCATACTGTGTTGACAGTAAGTGCTCAGAAAGTGGTGGTTCCTTGGCTCTCCCAAGGGAGTTACCGCTTCCCTAATTCCCACCTTTCTGGTTCTTCTTCCCCCAAATCTGTCTTCATCACATCTCCCCCAGATTCCTGGCACCACCTCCTACTTAGTCTCCCTGCTCCCACTTCCTCTGACTTCCCACTCACTGTAGCCCTTGGAACTGCTTGAAGATTTTAGAGCCACCTCAGCTCCCACCCTGCTCAAGGACCTACAAGGACATGTCCCCAAGGCCCGCTTTACCCTAAAGTGACAATCTGCTCTGATTCTCATCTTTAGGAGCTTCTGCCCTTCCTGCTTGGTCCTCCCCCATGAATTTTTAAGTTGAATGAATGATAAATACACGCTTTGTTCGTCCCTGCAGAGCACTTGTGACACGATGCCCAACCACTCCGAAACCATCAGCCACACTGTGAATGTGCCCCTGCAGACAGCCCTGGGCACTTTGGAGGAGATTGCCTGCTGACACCCCTCAGGCTACCCAGCACCTCCAAATAGACCTTAAGGCCCAAGACCTAGGACAGGGGACAGCAAGCTCAGGTGGGATGGCCCCTGAAGACAGAAAGAAGCAAGAGCCCCCTATGCACACATTGCAAACTTCTGCCAAACCTCGCTCCGGCCATGTCTGACATGAAGCGTCCCTGAGCCCCGCCGTGTGTCCTCGTAGGAGAGATGAGTCACATTGGAACTGTCCAAGAACCAACCTGCCATCACATCTCACTGCCAGATGTATAAAGCACCTGCATGCTCAGACTTCTTACAGCCAGCACCACCTCCACATCTGTCTTGTACATGATACTCCTCCGTGTGGTCTCCAGCATCTGTGCGGTGGGACCTGATGCCAGCCCCTCAACGTCACCGTGAGGCCATGCTGGAATCAACACTACACAGCCCAGAAGGAAGCCGCAGAACTCTCTATGATGTTCAATTCCTGTGTCCTTTGTGAAGATTCTTAACCTACCCGAGAACCCCCACTCCCCCAAACTAGCCCCTGGGGGGGTCTGGCACCAAAGGTGATCAGTGCCAACCTCCCTTTCACCCCAGCGCCTGTGGAGGTGGCACAGTGGCCTGGGTGACCCCACTATCCATCCATGGAGCCACGTTGTTCTGTGACACCGCTGTATAGTCTGATTCTTTTCATTTTAATTTGGAGGGGCTTTTTGTTTTTGTTTGTCTATTGAAGATCATTTTGCTTTTGTTTTGTGGCTTTTCATTTTGATGTTCTGAGGTTTGGTTGTTGTTTTTTTTTTCTTTCCTTTCCATTTTCTTTGGAGTTTATTTATTCGTGCTTTGAATCACAGTCATATTAAAAGCTGGTCTTGTGGAAATGGCTCTCATTTATATTTTTTCTCCACATCCAGATCACTCTCTGCCCTGGAAGGTAAGCGAAGGGTCAGATCTTCCCACACAAAAGCTGCAGGTGATGTGCTTAGGTAGCTTTATATGCAACTTTACTTGACAGAATGTGCACACCTTGTATTTTATCTGTTCTAAATGGCTCACAACGTGGCCAATGATGTCACCACCCATTGGTAGTTCGCAGTCTTTGTTCTGTAGGACACTGCCCCAGACCATGGGACATGGAGAAGGGAAAGCTGCCTGCATCTGAAAGCCACAATAGAGGCCTTCTAGACCTCTGTGCTCTGTGTGCGCTACCCTGAATCCTCCCAAAATTGACTGGGGACCCTAGTGTGATCTCCCTCCCACACATCTCAACTTCTCTCCACCCCACCTCCCCACCTCCATCAAAGGTCACTTTTGCAACCCCTTTAGCCTAACCTTTTGCTTCTCACAACTAATCCCCAGCTCTCCCAATCCAGGGTCACCCCACCCCAACCCAACAATAAAGAAAAGGTCTCGTGTGGCTGGTGCTCCCATCCTTACGTGCAGATGAATGGATAACACTGGCCAGACCAGGGGCTCAGGGTTTTAGTCTCTGCTTCTATCACCTTCTTCCTTTGGAAAGTCCCTTGTGATTGGGTCCACCAGATAATCCAGGGTTTTCCCTCCACTGCAAGGTATTTAACTCAATCACATCTTCAAAGCTTCTTATACTCTGTAAGGTACAAATATAATCTTCCATGCATGGAAGATTCCAGGCATTAGGATGTGAACATCTTTGGAAACCATTATTAGGCCTTTCACAGATCCATCAGAACATGTGGCCTAATGAGTAGAACCAAAGGGGGAAGGGAAGAGACCAACCTGGGAGCACCTACAGCTCCCAGGCTTGCAATTCCATCTGTAGACCTATCAAGAAGACCTGCTTAAAACAGTAAGGACTCAAAGTGGTCATTCCTCCAGGCTGTGTCAAGCCCACCCCTCCTTACACCTGCCTGCAAAATGTCCTGCTGGTCTCCTAGACTGCCAGATGGAGGAGGACAGGGGTCTGATTGCTCCTCTCAGGGATAAGAATCAAAGGAAATGTCTATGTGGATTGTCAGGAATCGGTTTGGTGCTTCTGCCTGTCACAGTTTAACAGCTCTATAATTTTTTTTAATCCATAGCTTAAATTGCTATTTGAAGTGCTTCAGTGAATTTCTGGCTTCCTTTCAGGGATATATATAGATATATAGATATATAGATATTTGTGATGGAGCAAAGACCATTAGAATACATTTGGATTTCTTCCACTTCACAATCTTATGCACCTCTTCTGATTTGAGGATTTGGGCTTCAATAAGCTTGAATCAAGCCCTCATACTTATTAAGAGAGATAATAAAGATAGATAGATGATGGATGGATAAATAGATAATGTAGAGATTTATGAACTCAAAAGAACAAAAAAGACACAATCTAAATACCACTGAGTGCTGGGGTGTTCTTATTATAGTCATTGCAAACAACTAGCTGTGTCCAGTTATCTCTTTAATGAAGATCTGGGTAGATCAGGTAGTCAGAGGAAACTTAAGGATATGTAGTCGTTTCAGGAATGACTTTAAAAAAAAAAAAAGATAACATAAAGGGCAGGAGTTGGAAGCAATCTCAAGTCCAGACCACAAGACTGGATTCTCAGTGATCTCATAGGTTCAGATAAATTGATTTACCAATGGCATGGGACCTCAGAGACAGAGTCTGAGGTGGCTGCAGTTGGGGAAGCAACGGAAGGAGTGGTTCTGTAAGTACCCTGCAGGGCCTGTGTTGCCTGCTCACAGACTGTTGCTTTGTTGTTTTTGGCAGAAAAGCCAGAGTTATTTTATTTTACTCTTTCCAGCTTGAAGCTATTTGTGTGAGTTTTAACCATGATCACATAACGCCTAGCCAAGAAGCTTGTAGAGCCACAAGCACTGCCAAGAGGGAGATGAGAGTCCCCAGAGGGTCCCCTGTAGAGCAGGCATAGAGATGTAGGAGGCAGCCCTGCCCGTGGGTGCAAGCTCGGGGAAGCTACACTCAGCCCATCTGAGCCCCACAGGCTCAGGAAGAAAAGCTGACTCCCACTTCCCCCTCACAAGCTCAGAGACTCCAATTCCACTACTCTGTGTGGACCGGGGGCCTCAGTGAGGTTCCATCAGATAAGTTCAGGAATTACGGAGAAGAAAGGAAACTCAGAGAGGGCAAGGAATTTGCTTCTGCAGAGAGAATGAAGTGATCTGAATCCACACACAGGCAGGGCAGACCTCATATGACTTAGAACAACCTTCCTAGCCAAGGTGGGGAGAGAGCAAAGGAAGGAAGGAGAGGGGCTAATGTGGGAAGGACACTGGGCCATCATTTATCCCACTGATGGTTATGCGCCAGGCATATATATAATCAGAGCAGGGAATATTAACAAGTGCACAAATGACTCTCAGGTATGAGTAGCTTCCAGTTGAATAGACATGAGAGAGAAGAATATTTCAGGAGATTCCAAACAAAGGACACAATCAGAAGTAGGGAAGACTTGAAGATTGAAGGGCCTGGTCATTGATCTGACCCACTGTCATACCTGATATCCTTCGAGCTCCTTCCTCTGGCTGCTCTAAAGAGTCTATGAGACATTTCTTAAGCCAAAGATTATTGAAGCTGAGGACTTTCTTCCCCCTCATCTGGGCTTCTTACCTTTCTCACACAGAATCTTTTACGTGTGTACTGCTGTATTCCTAATGGAATATTTTGTGGGTCATAAAACAGAATAGAACCCATCCATGCCTGAAAGCAGGCAAATGTAATGTAGCATTCGACTTAAATGTTCATTTGCTTTTCAAGAACAAAGACTTGAACAAGAAATCAAAAGACTAGGTTGCTAACTTGTCCCTGCTATAAGCTGCCCACATGATTTTAGATAGTTCTCTCTCTAAACCTCCATTTGCTCCTCTATGAGAGAGGAGGGAAAGGGACATATAATCCTTTTGGTTTGTGCTTCTCTGCTCTAGCCATCCATGAGAGACTAAGTTGGGAACGGGATATCAGGCCTGTGAGCAAATGCTTGACTTACTGCTCAGAGCCTCTGTTTTCCTGTCTATAAAATGGGTATGATTAGTCCTCATTTTTCAAGGTTAATTATAGGGATTAAATTAGCTAAAAGTATATAAAACACTTTCTAGCCAGGCTCTGGTGGCTCATGCCTGTAATTCTATCTTCTCAGGATTGAGGCTCAAAGCCAGCCTGGGAAAGTCCATGAGAATCTTATCTCCAATTAACCACCAAAGAGCCAGAAGTAAAGCTGTGGCTCAAGTGGTAGAATACTAGCCTTGAGCAAAAAATAGGTTAGAGATAGTGCCCAGACCCAGAGTTCAAGCCCCAGGATTGGCACACAAATAAAAACTTTCTCATGGGCTAGGAAGGTGGCTCAGTGGTAGAGCACTTACCTTGCATGCATGAGGCCCTGGGTTCGATTCCTCAGCACCACATAAGCAAAAAGAAAAAAGCCAGAAGTGGCGCTGTGGCTCAAGTGGTAGAGCGCTAGCCTTGAGCTGAAGAGCTGAAGGACAGCACCCAGGCCCAGAGTTCAGGCCCCACAACTGAACCCAAAAAATAAAAAAAAAAATAAAAACTTTCTTGAATTTCCCATCTTTTTTCATCCCATAAAACACTGATTCTGAATCTCACTTGGATCGCTGACTCTTTGAAAAATAAGATCAAAGCTATGAACTCCTCTTGCCCCTGAGGGTAAAAAAGCACATCATCATACAGATGTAAAATTTCATATGTAATTTTGGGAGGATTCCGGGTGCCCAGATGTTCTATGGACCCTGGGTCTCCCTTTGACCTAGGAAGCACTAAACAATCTTCAAAAGAACTTATCATCAGTACCACAAAGACCCACCAGCATTTCTTCTTCTAAAATGATCGAATGGCTGCAATCTTTCAATTGACAGAAAGAAAGGGATGGGATTTGATCAATTTCAAGGGTTTTTTCTCTCTCTTTAATTTTCTAAACCTTCTGCACCTGCTGCAGCTTTGGAGCAAGTGTTCTCACAGATGGCAAAGTGAATGAGCAAGCAGAAAATGAATAGGAACAGGAAAACTTAGAAATGTAATTTAATGAAATTATTTTATGCATGTGAAGATTGTCAGGGATGAAGAGACCCGCATACATCAAAAGGGAAAATAAGAGTATTCTCAAATATCCACATGTATCTCCTAGTCCCTAAAAGATGGTCATGCCAGGCACTGATGGCTCACATCTGTAATCCTAACTACTCATGAGACTGAGATCTGAGGACTGTGATCAAAACCAGACTAGGAAGGAAAGTCTGTAAGACTCTTGTCTCCAATTACCCACTAAAAAGCTGGAGGTAAAGCTGCGACTCAAGTGGTAGAGTACTACTCTTGAGCAAAATAAAAGGCTCAGGAACAACACCTAGGTCCTGAATTTAAGCTCCAGGATGATAAAAACAACAACAACAAATGATGTGATCATGTCTCTGCATCCCAGAGAACATTCTCTGATTGCAGCTGAGCCTCCACACCCATCTTTGGTGAATCTCTGATTTCTGAGCTGGGCTACAGTGGTTGGTTGATCATTTGTTTGTTTAAAGAAAAATCCACACCTGATAATGACTATGATTGATGCCTTGGAAAGGGTGGTTTGGATGTCTTGTCTCCTTAGAAGCTATTGCTATATCACACTCATTTATCTAACTTGGAGCTATTTGTCTTTAATATGATTTAAATTCCTGTGGCTTCCTTTTGAAAGGAAGTATATCCAACTTAAAATAGGCCTAATACAGCATGAGTTGGTGGGTAGCAACTCATATCCAGCTCAACCAGCCTTAGAAGGAAGAAATATCAAGATGCAGCAGGAAGAAGATGGAGGTCCTCATCCTGAGTCCATCAACCCACATGCATCTCATCTGTGTGCCACTGAGTGCCAAGCACTGCACCAGATGCTAGTGACTCAGATAT